ATTTTTCAAGTCGTATTTTAATGTAACGTAGAAGAGAGAAGATCGTCCATTGCATCTCGTGCCTCGTTATAAAGACCTTCCTCTGGGAACAATTCTATTGTATCTCGATCAATTCAGGCAACCAATATCCGTTTCCTGTAACAGGAAGCGGATACCCTCCCGGTTGACTGATTTTTTTTTTGAAGAATCGTCAGAATTGAGAAATCATGTCCAAACTCCCAATTTATTTACCATTATTTGGTCCAAATTGTCAGCGATGTCCTCGTTTCGTCGACTCATTTTCCCCAGCGAGGGAAGAGGAGCGAGCGGCTGATCGTACTTAAATAATTTGTTACCCACCCCCCACCGGGCAACAAAAGCGATGCAGCTAATGCTACGCGCAAGGGGCTTAAATTTTAAGTAAAAAGCCTTTTGACTAAGCAGTGGTTTTTATATTACTATAGAATTACAAGGAACAAGTAGAAACGGATTGGAAACGAGGTTAGAAAACAAAATTATATTCTATGCAGTGTAAATGTTTAATTATATTCCTTCAAACGCCTCACTGATTATTATTTGCGTGAGATTGAAGCCATTTGACTTTCAAATTGCAAGTAGTCTTTAGTTGTTAACGAATCATTTCCTTTCGCTAAACTTCATTGAATGAGTTGTTCACAGCACAATCCAAGCGTGTAGATCAGTTGCAGTTAAGTGATCAGGTTGATATTAGCATTATAAAATATAGTCGTAGTCTATGTTACTTAGGCAAACGAAGGAAGAGAATTGCGAAGAAAAGCCTGAAAGGCTTGAAAAGAACGTCATACAAGGTAAACGAATCTGTAGACAGTTACAAGAGGTAATTTATATGTCAACAAAAAGTTTAAAATTGTTAAAATTAATTTAGCAAGCCTACTGGATAACAGTGGATAAGAAGGATGTTAAACATATTTCTTTAAGAGCTTAAGAGCGTTTGCCCCCGTCTTCATTCTGGAAACAAAACCGAAGAAACTTGAAATATTTTTGATTGTAAGTAAGTTGAATTTTTTTTTTCACATTTTTCTTTTTCACATTTTAATACGAGCGGAACGTATCAAATTTTAGTGCTGACAAACAAAGCTTAATTGGTGTGAGAGACTGTTGGTTGCATGATTACAAATTTTAGCTGACTGGATTCATTAGTATAGTTCAGATAAATTCGTTACTGGTTTTACTCGTCTCGTATTTACCCAGACGAATCAAGCGCCGATTCGTAACGGTTTCAACCGTTTTATGAAAATTGGTCGCATTTTTCATAATAAAAGTAAATTTCTAAGTTGAAATCTCAAAGGTTTGGTCAATCTGAGCATAGACACCCTTAGTCGGAATGCAAGGATTCAATTCGTAAAAAAAACAGCTAGCCATTGCCACGCCATTGATAACTTGAATTCTTTGTTACCTCAATAGTCTGCCGGGCAGTGCTAGCTTTCGTTAAGTAGACTTCGAGTAGTCCCTCTTTCGCTTAGTCCGTCGTGCGTATTCTATCGTTACGGGGCTAGCAGTTAAGATGCCCCCAGGTGCACCCTATGTGTATGAAGCTAGGGAGACTGGCCGCACGAAAGGGTTACCTTTTTCAGGTTTCAGGTATATAAAAGGGTCAGGGATTCCACAAGTTGAGGTATATGAAAGGGTAGGGAAATCTGTCATTTAGTTAATTGAAAGGGTCTTTAACAAACGCACTTTATGGCTGTATCATTTAATTTATTAAGCATTACATGAAAATGACAAGAAGATTTCCTTTTTTGGCGATTTATTAATAATACCAGGTTAGTTATGAAATTAGGGTGAAACTGGTATTTTTTTTCAATCATTAAAGGCATACGAAAGGGATACTTTTTCTGTCAAAATGGTATACAAAAGGGCTGGTAAGGAGCTGCGCGCACTTCGGGACTGAGCCTCGCCATATAAGACGTTGTAGAGTACTTTGTAGGTTAATGCTTTGAGTAATCATCAAATTCAAAGAACTACGAAATTAAAAGAAATACATGGCTTTCATTAATTTAGAATTTCTTTAGACTAGAAGGTCTCATTCGTGATGTTTTTTTGACAGAGAAAAAGCAGACAAAGAAAAATTATCAGTAATGATACGGGTGGCAGTTGCGTTCATCTTGCTCATTTACCTTGCAATGGCGTTTAAATTAGAAAAAGAGCGCCTAGCATTTGAAGATCAACCAGACGCACAAGATGAACTAGATGAGCAAGAACAACAATATGAAGCAAGGGAGCGAGCCCGTGAGCGAGATGACCCAGACGAACAAGATAAAGGTGAACAAGATGAAGCAAATGAGCCTTATGAGGGACAAGATGACTTACACGATGAGGAACAAGACGAATATGTACTGAATGAAACAACTGATCGAGATGAACAGAAGGAGCGAGATGAACAAGACAAAAATGAAGAGGATAATAAGGTAATAGAGCGATTTACGAAAAAACATACATGCCTTTCCAATTGGTTAAAGTCGCGCTCTCTAAGCAATTATACAAAATATATTTCCAATGAACTGCGTTTTCCTGCAGTCAGCGCTATTGAAAACTTTCACATCCTTAACACCTGTTGCACGTTTTGCTGCACTTGGCGCCCGCGGTTTCATGTTTTCCCGCGCTTAGTGCTAGTTACCTGTTTTCCCGCGCTTGGCGCCTGTTGTTAAGTCCTTCATTGCGTTCTTTTACGTTTGTTGCAATCCACCGTAGGAAAAAAAATGGCGGCTGTACATTTTACCACAATGCCTTGCGAACCTAAAGCAACCTATAAGGCACAAAGAAAGCCAAATTATTATAATATTTTTCCCTGTGCTATGGACATTGAGTAGCCTAGGTTTGAAGATTTTATAACGTTTCTGTACGTTTCTATGAACGTTGTTAAGGTTTTTGTGCGCTAAGAATTATGGGTAAATGTACCAGTCGCCATCTGTTTACCTACGGAGGATTGAAAAGGAGTACTGAATTAATTTACACTCTGGTTTCGGTTTTACGATACCCTTCAGACATCAACCCAAATTATATGAATGTAAAAGCCTGCTCTTGTTAAGTTTATAGTAACATGATTATCGACCTTAGGGATATGAAAAAGGTCGACCATTTGTATCTCCTTAGTACATTCTGCACAACTGCTGTTTCTTTTCTGTTTAACTATCTTCTTTTAGCTCGAAAGCCTCGAGGAAAGATTCTTTGGTCAAGATTATTGTTGCACGCACGAGTGCTTTTACACGCCCCCAGAATGCTTCACGAACTTGAGAATATTATCTTCGGTAAGCAGACAAATTTGTCATCCGTGTGCGATTGTTTGTTCCCATGATCTCCATTCAATAATGTTCGTGCAATGAACCTCTCTGCTATATATTTTCTCATGCGAAAACCACGGTATTCCGCTTTCTAATGCCTCTTACGGTGATTGGAAAAAAGGGTATGTCGCTGACTCGCAGGAGCGAGGGCCCAGGAAGACGATAGCTCTGGATGCCTGCAAGTCGGTCATGTGTCTTGATTATTGTACGAAGTGTCTCTGTAAACCAGCCCACACTGCCCAGCCCGCCGTACCCCCTCCCCGCCCCCTCCCCCAATTTGCTGTCGAGTTTGCTAACTGAGTATTTTTCCTCGTTTTGCAGACATGAGAGCAAGATATTCAATGGGTTGCTTTAAACATTGCTAACAAGTAGTACGGTGAAGAGACCTCTTTTTTTGGCTCTGAAGAATCAGTCCCAACGTGATTAGGGTCAGATCGCTAAAGCATGAAAGCGATAGCATTAGCTAGTATTGTCTGCAGGCAATTAGTGGTATTTTCAGACTTCTTTGATAACGGAAACACATTCGTATTTAACCTGAATGCCGCCCTCGCCCATTTAAGTTGCTTCACGCACGTGAAGCGAAGGAGATAGGAAACCTCTAATGTGAATGCAAATCTTATTTATAGTGGTCATACATTTAGCTATACAAGCACTAAGCTTAGCTAGTTTACAGGCATCGCACTGAACCAAAGGAAACAAATATTTCAAATAAACGTAACATGGTTAAAAATCCCAACTGGCAGGAGGCAGACCAGTTGGCTATTTACAAAGCATGACTGAGGATTTGAACTCGGGACTACCGAGAAACAAATCCCGCTAGTGGCATGGTAGAGGCATTGAACCCGGGACCTCCGGATTACGGCACCAGGGGCCCTAAACCACTCGGACACGCTGCCTCCACTCTGCACGTATCCCGTTCATTTTTACCCAAATATCCCGTATCCCGAACACTCCTAATAGGGTCTCGTCGTGGACACATTAATAGGCTGATTTAACAACAGGACGGGAACGTCAGATGACGACTGCACGGCGCGCGGAATAACCTGGATTCTGTTC